TGGAAAGTTCCCAGGGATCCCACCGGTGCAGCTATGAGGTCTCGGGAAGTTGTTCTCAGGTGTTGCAGTACAGCCTGGCTAGAAGGCGTAGAGGTATACAATGCCAGGTATTCAGGGAACAGAAAGAGAAGGAAGATATAGAGAGATGAGAAACGGTTGTTTTGTCTCCCGCTGGATGCTCCGTGAGGCTGCTTTCTTGTACCCCCTGTTTGCTGGTCTCCGATAGGAGTCCAAGATGTCGGATCCGTGTTGCATTAGCTGGTAGGGGACCTCTGCATGAATCTCTCTTTGGTCTCCTTTCTCTGTTAGTTTTCTCACTCCATTTGATGCTTGGCTGAGTTCTTTATCTCTTCATTTGATGTTTTAGGGTTTCAGGATTGTTGTATTCTCTGTTTGGCTTAGTTTTTCAGATCTTTGCAGTGGAGGGACGGCGTGGTGCTTCTGCCTAGAGCGCCATTTAGCCGGAACCCCTCTTCTAACTCTTTTGAGCTACAGGGAAGTACACTGAACTGCACACACATAGTGGAACACTTGATCAGTTTTGACATGTGTATTAAAAGAAAAGCTCGTTGCCATCCAGTCAATTCCAACGCATAGCAACCGTCTAGGACAGAGTAGAACTGCCCCATAGGGTTTCCAAGGAGCACCTGGTGGATTCGAACTGCCGACCTTTTGGTTAGCAGCTGAGCTCCTTAACCACTGCGCCACTACCATGGTCTTAAGTCTTCCTTTATTACGGCTCCCCTTCCACCTTTTTCTTTCTCCTTTTCTTTTCCATTTATTTTTAGAAGAAACCGTATCGTTTATCCTGCAGAATTTCCTGCATTCTGGCTTTTGCCGTTTGCGGTCTTGTGATGTTCCTCTGTTCTCTGTATTTCCAGAAATTGACAGTTGAATCTAGACACTTGATCTGATTCCGTTTTGGTCTTTCTGAGGAAGGGCTGGCTCACTTCCTGGTCAGGGTTGTGTTCTTCCATTGGCAAGTGCCCCCATTTTCTGCTGTGAAGAATTGGCGTGTCTCTGTGGGGGCAGGGAGGCCCTGCAGCTCTTCACAGCCTCCTCGAGGAAGTTCCCGAGACAGCCCCTCTCGAAGACGCCAGGTGGAGTGGTAGAGCATCTCCGCTGAGGGAACCCCAGCAGGCACTGGGCCCTGCTCCCAGCTCCGGGCCCTGCTCCCAGCCCTGGGCTCTGTGTCCAGCACTGGACTCTGCTTCTAGCACTGGGCCCTGCATCCAGCGCCGGGCCCTGTTGCCAGCACTGGCGTCCAGGAGGCAGCAGGACAGGGCAGTGGTCAGGAACGTGGCTGGAGTTTGTATCATGGCTCTGCCACTTGCTGGCTCTATGATCCTGGTCAAGTTCCTTAACACCCTTGAGCCTCAGTCTCCTAGCCTGTAAAATGGGATAGTACAGAAACTGAAGGCATTTACTGAGGTGAGATATATATATATATGTGTGTGTGTGTGTATATATATATATATTTTTTTTTTAATATTTAATTTTTTTTTGGTGAAAATACACACAGCAAAACCAGCTCCCGTTTCACAGTTTCTAGACATAATGATCAGCATGACATTGGTTACATTCTTCACATTGTGTCAACATTCTCGTTATTTCTTCTAGAGTTTTTTACTTCCATTTATTTAATCTCCCTGCCCCCTAGCTGTCTCATCTATGCTTTAAAATAGCTGTTGACCTATGGTCTTATATAGACGATGTATGTGTGTATATATATTTATATATATATATAAAAGAATCACAGTACTCAAAGGTGACAATCTTTACTCTTTGGGCTAAACTGTTACCTAGTTTAAAGATGACTTTAGGGGGTAGTTTCAATTAAAGGTTTGAGGAGCCTCTCAGGGATTCCTCCAGCTTCAGTAGGTCCAGTAAATCTGAATTCTTTAAGAATTTGAACTTCTGTTCCATATTTTTCTCCCTTTTTATCAGGATTCATCTACTGTGTCCTGGAAAAATCAGAATGTTCAATAGCAGTGCTTGGGCACCATCTAGTTCTTCTGGTCTCAAGGTGGAGGAGGCAGTGGTTCATGAGACAACAAGTCCTGTAGTCCAGTTCCTTCTCTGATTCTTGGGTTTCATTCTTTCTCTTTTCTTCCAGACAAATAAAGACCAGTGGTTATATCTTAGATGGCCACTCGTAAGCTTTTAAGACCCCAGATACTACTCACCTTACTGGGAGGTAGAACATAAACTTTAAGAAATGGTATTATGCCAGTGGACTGGATCGTCCCACAAGACCATGGCCCTGTGCCCCCAAACCAAGAGAACTAATCCTATGAGGTGATTGGTTGTGTCTGATTACTATCAGCATCTGTAGCCCCTCTCCTCTTTTCTGGTCGTTGTTATTGTTGCAGAACCATACACAGCCCAGCATTTGCCCATTCATCCGTTTTCCCTATAGACAGCTTATCGACATGAATTACATTGGTCATGCCCTCTAAACTTCACCCACGTTGGGAGCCACCTTTCTCATTTCTATAAATGAAAAGCGACTACTTAACCTAGGGAGTACTCCGCCTCCCCCAACCACTAATGAACTTTAGGTGGTTTCTGTGTATTTACCTATTCATGTCTTTTCATAAAAGTGAGAACAGACAACATTTATCTTTTTTGTGATTGACTTACTTTGCTCAGCATAATGTCCTCCAGATTCATCCGCATTTTAAGAGGTTTCGAGAACTTTTTTTTTTTAATCCCCGAGTAGTGTTCCTTTGTATATACCACATTTTGCTTATCCATTCACTGTTGACGGGCTGAGGTGGTATCTTTGTAAACTACTTGGCATGGTCCCTAGCACATAGTAACGCTCCAGAAATTATATCCCTTGCTCAGTATTACATAAGCCTGTTTAAGATGGAATTGCTAAAAGAGCCTCTCTTCTTATATTTAAAGAATGCAAGAATGTGGCACACTGTTAACGGTTGTGAATTCTTGGTTGTGTGTTTATGTGGATAATCATTGTATTTTCCACTTTTCTGCATATTTGAAAAATTTTATGATAGAGTTGCAAAAATCATGCAAGGAGAGCAGAGTTTGACTTTGGAGAAAAGTAGGACCATTTCTTCCCCTTAAAATGTTTCCTCTTCCCACTGCAGCCAAAAACCTGATGTAATACAGTATAGAATTTGGATGTTAACCCACTCACACATTTTGGCCTCCGACAATCTCATTTCAAGCAGTTAGAAAACTAGCATCTGAGGGGAGTTTTATTGATTTCTGAAACTTAAATTTTGGTCTTACCCTTGAATCATCCACTGGTAGGTTGGGAAGGGCCTGAGGAGCCGTTTAGTCATTTCCCTGCCGTTGGCTGGAATCCGCTCTTGCCATCCTAACCAGGGGTCACCCAGCGTCAACACGAACACAGCCAGGACAGAGCTGCTGGCTTTTATCCCCTCAGGTCTCTGAGGACCACTGGTTAAACCCCAGGACTTGTGGGCTGCTTCAGGAGCTTGGTGGGGCCGGTAGGAAAAGGACCATCTCTCGTGGTGATATGAGCTGCGTCCCACCTAGTGGCAGGCCATCACCTGATCTGCTTCATCCTCCCGACAGTCTGACGTGGCAGGTAGTCTCCCTGGCCCCACTCTGCACCTGCAGAGACCAGAGCTGTGAGGAGTAGCCCCGTGTCCAGCGACACGGCTGCAGAGCGTGAAGCCAGCAGAGGAGCCTGCCTCTTGAGCTCTGTGCGGGCTGCTTTAGGCTGGGGCTCTGTAAGCCTTTACCACCTTGGTCATCTTCCTTTTGGGTACACTTGAGTCTGAGAGATTCCTCCTAAAATGTGACTATGAGCCAAGCACAGGTCCACACGTGGTGACCAGGGCAGAGCAGCGTTGAGAGCTGAGTTCTGTCCCGTCGCTGTGTTGTGCAGGGAAGCTGGCCTCACTGATGCCCGGTCGGCATAGTGGCCGGGCTGCAGCCCGCCCAGAATTCAGTGCTGCACGTTTTAGATTGAATCTACCCCAGAGAGAGCCTTGTACCCTGAGACATCTCTGGTGTAGGTGGCAGCCTGCGATAGGAAATCGTGTTTCTGTGGCCTTTATGGCATCTGTCTCAGTTATCTAGTGCTGCTCTAACAAATACCACAAGTGGGTGGCTTTGACAGACAAATTTATTTTCTCACTGTTTAGGAGGCTGGAAGTCCTAATTCAGGGTGCCAGCTCTAGGGGAAGGCTTTCTGTCTCTGTCGGCTCTGAAGGAAGGTCCTTGTCTCTCTTAGTTTCTGCTCCTGGGTGGTCTCATGTGGCTTGGCGTCTTTCTTCCCCCATCTCTGCTTCTCGCTTGTTTGTTTAATCTCTTTTATATCTCAAAAGAGATTGACTCAAGGCATACCCTACACTAATCCTGCCTCATTAACATAACAAAGACATCCCATTCCCAAATGGGATTATAACCACAGGCACAGAGGTTAGGATTTCCAACACATATTTTTGGGGAACAGAGTTCAGTCCGTAACAGCATCCTTACAAGACTGCGATCACAGCGAGGGTTTAAAAAGACAAAAAAACAAAAACAATCAGAAGAAACGGTCCCAGTGTCGAGTGTGTGTCTGGAGTGATGGGATTATGTGTGACTTTTTAGTTCACTCTTCTGTACGTTCCAAACTGTCCCCTCTTTGGAGTCATTCCTGAGCCTGTTGGTGCCTGTGACTGGACTCTTGAGAACTGAGTGGAGTGTGTGGGGTTAGCTATGTGGAGGGACCCAGTGAGTGTGGGGTTGAGCCCGCCGGTCTACCCGTGTGAAGGCGGAAAAGGAGCTGGCTGCCCTCCGTCTCCCATGGCGGGTGGGGCGGCGTCTGCTCCCATCACAACAACAAACCGATTCAGCTGGCAGGCGGCTGCTGCCATTTTGGCAAGTGACCCCAGGCGTTCTCTCTGCCAGTAGGTCCCCAAAGCAATTCCAGCTGGAGTGTCTTTGGATACATCTTGTTCTGCTGAAGTTGTAAGTGGCATGTCTCTCTAGTATTCATCCTGATTATTTTCTTCCAGGTCTTAGTACCCTGCAAAGGAAGTCTGTCGAGCAATGTCCAGTCTACTTGTCAGTTTGAATCCTACATTTTGATACCAGTGGAAGAACATTTTCAGACCTTAAATGGAAAGGTGACCATCGCTTCCTGGGGTAACCAGGGTCACTCGCTCAGTGTTTGGGCGGGAGGGAAGAGAATCCACTCCTCATCCTTTCATACCTACGTTAAATGATGGCTTTTGGCGCCACACAGCGGCCCTGGGGATGGGGCTGGAGGGACCCTTGCCTTTGTCGGGGAGTCTGTGAGGAAAGAGGAGAAGGTGACGGTAAGCCAGCCCGGCCGCTGCCCTGGAGGGCGAGGAGGGGCCGGGTACCCCTCCCTCAGGATGGGGTTTCTGCCCGTGAGTCCCTCAAGTGCTTCTTACTCAATGACATCTCTGTCAGAGGAAGCTCTTTTGTCCCAGTGCCTGGAAAGCTGATTGGTTTCTTGATCACAGATTGGACATCAGGGGTGAGGTTTTAGTTTTTAAAACCTCTGTTTTGAAATAATTTCAGACCTACAGAAAGTTGCGGTAAGGTACAAAGAACACCCGTGTGCCCTTCCCTGGGACTGGCCAACGTTAACATTTTTGCCACGTTTGTTTTATTACTCTCTCTGTATACATATATTGTTATCATTTTTTCTGAATCTTTTGAGAGTAGGTTGCAGACATTGTGTCTCTTTCCCCCTAAATAATTCAGTGTGTATCTCCTAAAAACAAGCTTTCTCTTATATAAGCACAGTGCACTCACCACATTCAGAAAATTTAACACTGATACAGTACTATTATCGAGACTACAGGCCTTATACACATTTTGCTGATTTTTATAGCAAAAGTATTTTTTTTTCTTTTCCCATCCAGGATCATCCAGTGCATTTGGTTATTAATCATTTTACCTTTCTGTAGTCTGGAGCAGCTCCTCAGTATTTCTGTCTTTCAAAACATAGGTGTTTTGTTTTGTAGACGGTCCCTCTGCGGTTTCTCTGGCGCTCCTTCGTGATTAGACTGCAGTTGCGTATTTTTGGTAGGGTGCCACAGAAGGGCGTTTTGTCTTTCTCAGTGCATCGCGTCAGGAGACACGTGCTGGCAGTCGTCACGTTACTGTTGACATTAACTTTGGGGCATGCGGGCATTTTCTCAAAGTAGAAGCTGGTAGGTCCTGAGGGGGAGGTTACATTCTAGTCAGTGCTGGCTCTGTTCCCGCCTCACCCACAGTCGAGGGTGTCCACACCAAGGCAGCGACTGTGGTCTGGCCCCTCAGACTTGGTAGCCGAGGCTCGTGGGCATTGGGAGGGGAGGAGAGGGACAGGGACCAGAGCGTGGGCTCGGGCTAAGCAGCCCTGTGACTTCCGAGGCATGTGGCTCTTTTCTGCTCACCATAGCTGTCGGCTACTTGTTAGTTTATTTGCTCTCTTTTGGTAACAGAACTGAAAAGGGAACAGAGGAATCTGGCTCACCGTGGCTGGTCTGCCCTGGGCACCCTGGCTGTGGCCAGCATGGGCCTGGAGGGGTCGTGTCTTGATGAGCAAGAGAGGGGACTGTAGGGCATGTTCTTCAGTCCCGTCCACTTTAGAGCACAGATCGTTTTGATCTTGGTCAGATAGGAGAGGCTTCTTTTTCTTTTCCCAAAAGGTACAGGATTTGTTCCACTCCAAGGAACAGCTTAATGCTATTTCTGCTACATCATTTAGAAAGGATCAGGGTACCCTGTGGCCATAGCTACAGGGTGAACAAGGAGGAGAGAAGATGACAGTTTAGGATCAAAAAGAGCAAAACAGAAGAGTTTTGTGCCCCAGCAAAGCGCTATGGAGTGAGGGGCAGGACAGGGTCTGGCTAAGCGCCATAGAGGAGGCTGATGGTGCGCTGATGGCTTTCTTGTTCCAGGATGTCTTCATACAAGGAAACAGGATTAAATTAGGAACTGGTTTTGCCTACCTTCTCTCAGTGCCCATTCTCTTTGAAGAAACCTTCTACAATGAAAGAGAAGAGAGCTTCAGCATACTGTGTATAGCCCATCCTTTGGAAAAGAGAGAGAGTTCAGGTATTACCCTTTTTCCTCATTCAGAGAAATGTGTTTGTTGAACTTCCTGATGCAGCTGTTGCAAACATGTTGTCATTAGGTGCCATCGACTTGGTTCTGGCTCAGCAAAACTATAGTTGAAACATACCATAAACTATTCCAGAGACCACTAAAACTCTGCTTAACTGTTTACAATTATTTTCCCTAGAACTTAAACAGAAAGTCGTCTTGAGCTAAGGAAGTTTGGATGGGGCTGCTGCGTATGGTTGCCCAGGTTGGATACTGCACAATTCTAGGGGGGCGTCATTCACTTCATGTACCTATGATAGACCGTGGGTGTCACCCCCTGGAATTACGCATGGCTGTAGCCCTGGCTTTGCATCTGGGGCTCGGCTTTAGGGCTTGCTCTTTGTAGCATTGTTACCTATCCAGCCCCACTGTTGCGCCTCTTTGATATCTCATTATTTTTAATGAATAAAAATTCTTCAGTCACCCCAGGAAGTTGAGGTAACACTTGAGGTGCCAGATGCTCTCTGAGGCTCTTGGTAAAAGCCTTATTGCCAGGAATCAGGGCTCCTTCACTTGAACCTCACAGGTCATACCCAGAATCCCAGATAGTCCCAGTTTTGTCCCAGGAAAAGGCCTCAAGAGGGCCAGGCTCTCTGGACCCTACCCTGTCCTGTGACTGGGCTTTTCTTGGGTAGTATCTTGAAAAAAGGACATTCCCTATCCCTGCTTCCTGTGCTGGAAGATGGGGCTTCAGACATTGTGGGAGCACCTCGTGTTTGTAGGTTATGGCAAAGGATGTGGCACTTTTTCCATCAGAAAACAATGAAGTCTTCAGCCAGCCTGACCCTCTGTCTCTTTTTCAGAAGAGCCTTCAACATCCCCAGATCCTTTGTCTCTGAAAACCATTGAAGATGTGAGAGACTTTTTGGGACGACATGCGGAGAAATTTGACAGGAGCATCGCCTCTTTCCACCGAACTTTCAGAGAGTGTGAGAGGAAGAGCCTCCGGCACCACATAGTCAGTAGCTGTGTCTTGCTCTGCCAGGCTTAATGGACCCTGTCCCAGGCTAACCCGGGCTCCAGGAGTCCTCTCAGTTTATTCCATGGCTTTTTTAGTCGCTGCTTCTGCTGTCGGAAGTTTTGTTTACATGTTTCATTCTTGTTATAAAAGTAATAAAAGCCACTTTGGAAGACGTGAAAATCACGGAGAGTGTAAAGGTGACTGCTACAGTCACCTGCGTTAACCCCAAGGGAAGTGATTTCCTACTCCCCGTGCGTGTTACCTGCAAAATGGAAGAAAGGCCTTGATTTGTAAAATAAAAAAATTAATTGATAATCTTGTATTAGTGCTGACAGCTTGTCACCCGGGAGCTCCATTTTGTGAGGTGTTGTGTTATGCATTCTGATCTTTGCATTGTGGCCTCCGACTTTGAGAGTGACCTGTGTCTCTGGTCTGTGTTGCACAGGACTCGGTGAACGCGCTCTACACCAAATGCCTCCAGCAGCTTCTGAGAGACTCCCGCCTGGTGAGCGTGCGAGACATTTAAACGAGAGCATTGCAGTTTGCCCACATCCAGCTCCAAACTTGTTGACTGTACTTTTCTTGTCCTAGAAAGTGCTTGCCAAGCAGGAGGCCCAGATGAACCTGATGAAGCAGGCAGTAGAGGTAAGAGGCTGAGGCAGCAAGGGAGCAGAAGGTGGCCCTGGTTGGGACAGCCCCTGGCTGCCGGCTCCCGGCCTGAATTGGGTCCGTTGTTTCACAGATGTACATCCATCACGATATTTATGATCTGATCTTTAAATATGTGGGGACCATGGAGGCCAGTGAGGTGAGTTCCAGTCATTGTCCCCTGTAGAAGCCTTCTTCTATGCTTTTTAAGACATTTGAAGCTTCATTAAAATCTGTTGTTAGGATGCTGCCTTTAACAAAATCACGAGAAGCCTTCAAGATCTTCAGCAGAAAGATATTGGCGTGAAACCTGAGTTCAGGTAAGGGCTGCGCTGTAGCAGCCGGGTGTCCGCGGAGCAGGGCTGCTAGTAACAGTGGCAGCACAGTGATGTGACGCTGTTAGAGCCATGGAGCATTGTGGTGATCTGTTACCTAAAATAAAAGGCTGAAGTTGATAGGTGACCAGTAGGTAGCTGTCACCCTCCTGTACCTGTGTGCCAGCATGCCAGCTGGATGGGAGCTAAAAAGGATGGGGCTGTGTACAGCTTATCTCCAGGTGGGCGCATAACTTGCCCAGGTGGGTCCTGCGTGCAGACATGCTCCTCACCTGCCTGGCATGGGGAACCCCGCCATAGCGGTGCCTACTTTTGAGTTGATTTAAGATTCACTAGGGTACAAAACTGTCTGAACTGTTTGAATTGAAACTTTTTTCTGGTTTCCTTTGGGCTTCTTTCCCTCTGGGGCTAAGGATTCTTATTTATTTATTTATTTTCCAAATTTCTGGTGCAGCTCTGTTACCTGGCAGCCCAAACGAGGCCCTTAACGTGTTGTGTTTTGCTCCTGACTTAAGTCAGATGACGTCTGTGTTTCTGTTTTTCGTTCCTCGTGGTTTCTTATAAGAAGTTTATAACTTGAGATCCGTTATTAGATCAAGGAAGAAGGGCCCCGACACCGGGGTCTTAAGCTGTCACTTCCCGAATTATTTTACAGTTTCAACATACCTCGTGCAAAGAGAGAACTGGCCCAGCTGAACAGATGCACCTCCCCTCAACAGAAGCTGATTTGTCTGCGCAAAGCGGTGCAGCTACTTACACAGTCTCCGAGCCAGAGAGGTGTGTGCTGCGAGGTAGACGTGGCCGCCAGCTGGAAAAGCCTGTCAAGGAGCAGAGCTGCCTGCAGGGGTGATTCACGTGGGGCTGATGCTCAGCCAGTGCATTCCGTTATGAGCACACCCAAGTCTGCTCTGATTAGTGGGGTGCCTAGTCATGGGTGGGTAGCTCAGGCATGATCAGAGTAAGAAAGTGGTGGCAGAGAAGCAGCGACTTTTAAAAATGAGCCAAACTGGTGATGTGGACGTGGTTCAACTGTTTGTTATGCTCTTCTCCCTAATTACCTATATGTTGGAAATGTTCCATTATGAGAAGTAAAGTGAAACAAAATAAGAATAAAATAATACGGAGGAGGCAAATCTGTGTGTGTAGATTGGGGATGATCTTCTAGGTATACTAATTGAAATAAACAAGGGTATATGGTACATTTCTGACAGCAGCAAAAAGAGGGGAAGGGCTATATATCCATATATGTGGTGGTGCATATGCTATATATCCACATACATGGTGGTGCAGGCACTATTTATCCATGTATCTGGTGGTACATGCACTGTGTATCCAAACGTGTGGTGGTGCGTGTGCTGTATGTCCATATATATGGTGGTGTGTGTGCTATATATCCATATATATGGTGGTACATGAGCTATATATCCATATATATG